GTTGCGCCGTCGCGATCTCTGGTAGTCTGTTCGGAGTCGAGTGTATGCTGCCGCAGTTCGGCTAAATGGCGAAGAAACCTCGTCATTACAGAGAGAAACGAACTGTCGGTGTCTGAACACTGTTTATGCCATATTGTACGGGTCTGTTCAGGAAGCTAGACGCAGTCTTAGGTAACCGCGGTCACTCACCTGGTCGACTTCCGTTAGCTACGTTGGCTGCTTGTGTTACGCATGCCACCAAATAGTTTGCAGGGTGCATGTTGTTTACCGAGGCCAATGATGGGTGAAAAAGGAAAAGAGCGTCAAACTTAGACTTGAAATGGGAGTGTGGAAACCCGAGGGGAGGAACTTGCTCAAATTGGTAGCGTTAAGTTTCCTAGATGAAGATATTGGAATCATCGTAATCGATTATCAGAGACACTGATTGGTATGTTTGAGTGTAGTGGCACCCGTACATCTCATTATCCTTGCAACCTTAGTCTTAATGAATTATCTATTTTCAACATTCAAATCTTCCTTTTTCTCTGTCATCCAAATGGACAGCAAAAAGGTACCAACCACAACCGGCGCACCAAAAAGCATGGTTAACCTTCGTTAAACTAAAACTTAAATAGCAGTGCGATTTCACTTCACTTCGTCTTGTATCTCTCACTCATGGCCTCAAACAAGTAAGTTCCCTGATCCTCTAAGCGATCTGGTAGGATCATTTTCCGCGACTGGAGCAACTTGGACTCCCTCATCCTGACACGAGACTGTTTGATCACCGGTTCGTTGTTGTTGTTGTGGCTAATTTTAACACAATTTTGTCTACTACCTTTTTAGCCGTCAATTTACAGCTTGAAACATACTTTTTCTCTATCCGTTGTATATTCTTTTCTTCTGTGGTCTTGATTTGGTTTAGAACATTCACCGTATATACTTTAATGCTGATCTTATCTTAATTATAACGTTTTATTACTTTTTTGCTATGAATTCCGAATAAATGATCCAATTTTCTTCCAATGAATTTTAGCAACCATGTGGTGCATTGCCTTTGGTTTCCCACAGTATACTAACCACTATGCTATTCAATGACCGTGAATTTACTATCTTGTATTGAAGTTCTTAGATTGCAAGATTCAGCAGCCAATTATTATTGCAAGTTTGATTGCTGCAGATTGAACATAACAGCTGCATCTGATTTAAATTAACTCAGTATTATTTGATTGACATAGAGATCATATTTCATGGACAAATTGGTCACCATAAGGTGGTGGAAACGCATGGGTTTAGTCGCTGTCATAGGCGTGCTTTGGACCTTGTTGTCCGAGGTTCGAGCCCCGCCACCCAACTTTGGTGGTAGACAGCTCTGCTGTCGTCCGGTTCAATACCACTTAATCTATCGGGGCCTTATGTAGTTCGCCACTCCTAGTCCCGGGGCTCAGGTTACCAGTTTTCATTACTAAACAGCAGGTCCTCGTGATTATGAGGCTTTCCCCGTCTGTTGTTCATTACAGGAAAGTGTGTAATAAAAAAAGAACACCGTAGAAAAAGAATTCCGTAAAATATATCTGACGCTAACAAGGTGTAAAAAGATTAGCCAGAAATTTAGCCTTTACAACCGTTTCAACACAAATTTGGTTGAACAATGTAGTAGAATGTAGTTTCGAATGCTTTGGAAGCCCCGAATAATCTCATTCAGGCTATCAGGCGAAAATGCCTAAAGTGGAATGACGTCCCAACTGGGCAATTGTTATCTGTTTTTCAACCGGGTTCGCTTGTTTTTTAGTCAATCTCTAAACCTCAACCAGTGCAATTCTTCAGTAAGTGCAAAGATGATCAAAGAATAAAACTCACTTGTTATTATTTATTGCTTATTTTTGTATCCCTTGATTCGTCAGTTCATGATTTCAGTTAATTAGATTTTTGGACCTCAACTGATAGAACTCGTATTCCGACAACTTCTTCGGGTTAATACAATTATATAGTCAAATTAAATTAAAATATGCTTCAATGATTATAATACATTCACATCCTAATCGTTACGTGTTACGAACACATTCTCCCTACCCACCCTTTCCCAATTAAAAACGAAAAATAATCACAAACCACGAATCACACACATACATTGAAGCACATTTTAATTTTAATTTGACAAGATAACTGTATTAACCCGAAGAAGTTGCCGAAAACGAGCTCGTTCGCTAAAACCACAGTGTTTTCTCTTCATGTCAAATTGGGAATTTTCCATAAAAACACGTATTGTTAAAAATGTATCGGAATTCCCACCATCAATGAGGCTTGTTATCCAGTATATATTGCTCATCAATACTCATGATTTGACCTTGCTTTTTATAAGTTTACTGCCATCTGGCACGTTGATTTGTTGTGATCTTGGTGTCTGGCACTTTAGTGGAACTACGTATCAAGGTACTTCACATATCAAGTTAAGCGACCGCAGTCATCGACCGTGTTTTGAGTTTGCGCTATGTGGTTTTGGAAAGCCCATTTTCATTAACTGTATCATTAATTTCATATTGTGTATGACTGACGGGCACTGTAACTTTGTTTGAAACTTATCGTATCTTATCAGAAGTACGAGTTCATCGATCCAACTGAGAATCGAACCAAAAGCTCACACTAAGGACGTAGACCATATTTCTCACTTGACCACCAGGTTACTGATCAGAATGTTGCATAGCGCCACTCATCTGTCCAAGCGTGCTGCGAGCATTTAACCTTCCTTATTTCGGGGCTAATCTCTAAAGTTTGTGAGTCGATAAGAAACATTTGGAATCAAACTACTTCTTGCAACATGGAGCTACAAATCATATTCGTCGTTAGACGAAGACGTGGTTCAATGTTCGAAGTTTTATTATGGGAATAAGTTATAAGCTCATGCTTTTCTCGTCCCGTAGGCTCGTGTTGTAGTTGAAAACTAGTGCTACATACAATTCCTTGTGTAAAATGTCACATGATACGTGCTTCTTCCACTGCTGCTGGGCCAGGCGAGTATCTCTATTGCTCTCCAGTGAAACGAATGACGTTTATCGGATAAATGTTGAAGGCAGAACATTAAATAGTTCTCTGAATGAAAAGTAAACTCTTCGTCCTTTTGTTTTTGAAAGCAAAGCAGTAATTAGTGGATTCTAAATCAAAGAACAAAATATGTAACGCAAATGCATGCCATACAAGTTTGATTCAATAAAATTTGCAAAAGATTTGCATTAAACATTCAGTATTCTTTTTTTAGATTGTGAAATTTGACCTCATTCATGCATTTGTCTCACGCAAATTCTATTCCATTCACCCCCTTCATCCAAATAG